ATGTGTTGATATATTGTGTCCCCCAATATATTGTGCACCCTAATAAAGCTTATCTGAGGACCAGAGAAAAAAAGCCAGCCACTATAGTAAACATAGAAGTCAGGCAATGGTAGCACATGACTTTAATCCTAGCATTTGGGAGGCAGAAATCCATTTGGATTTCTGTGAGTTCAAGGCTGCACTGGGGAACAGAACCAGGCATGGTGACACACGCCTTTAATCCCAGCACTAACCATAGAAGTCTGGAGGTCTGTACAGACAGACAAGAAGTGATGTAGCTGGGCGGAGAGAGGAAGTGAGATGCAGAACAGAAAGACATACAGATGTGGGTATACCTATATAGAAATAGGTCTCTTTGGCTGAGGATTTCAAAGTGGTAAGAACGTGGCTGGCTTCTTTGTGTTTTCTGATCTCTCAGTTTTTACCTCAATATCTGGCTCCAGATTTTTTTTTTTATTAATAAGACCATTTAGCAATTTGTCTTACATTCATGCAATGGTCCTTTTGACCACTGTCAGCTCTCATCCTTAAGAGTGTGCTCCATTTTACTCTTTAGTAAACTCTGCATGTCTTCTACAGTACTCTGTGTGTTTATTCTGAGTTCTTTGGCTAAAGATCACAAGGACTAGTATTCTAGTTTTATTTCTGTTGGTGTGATAACACACTGTGACAATTAATTTAGGGGAGAAATGATTTATTTTAGCTTACAATTCTAGGTTATAGTCCATTATCTTGAAGAAGTCATGGTAGCAAGAACTCAAGATAGCTGCTCATATCACATCTACAGCCCAAAGCAGAGCAAAATAAATACGTGCATGCTCACTTATTTGCTTATGCTCAGCTCAATTTTTCCACTCTTACACAGTTTAGGCACCACCTACAACAGGCTGAGTTTTTTCTCATCACTTTATTTAATTAAGATACTCCTCCACAGATGTGTTCACAGACAAATCCAATGTAAATGCAAATCTATTGTCAACAATCCAAAATCTCCTAGTGAGATTCTCTTCCAGGTTATTCCAGGTTGTGTTAAGTTGATAGTAAAACTAACTACAACTGTGGAGCCCAGGGGAGTCCAGATAGAGATCCCAGTGACATGGTGAGTTTTTCTATTTATTTATTTCCAGTCATGTGTAGATGCCAATGTGACCATCCACGACTCCTCTTGTGAAGGTTTGCTCTGAGATAGTCATTCTCTGGTCCCTAAAACTTGGTCTTCATTTTGCTTCAAATGCTGGTTTGCCCTTCACTTAGGGCTATTCCTTCTCACTGTCCTTTGTTGTATCGTGTTGTCCCCAGTCTTGGATAACAGAGTACCTGGTGCCAGTCTTTGGTATTCTCATTGACCTGCCATTGCCAAGTGGATGTCAATGTCACAAAACAGTAAATATTATTTATATAGAGTTGACTCCAATTAAAAAATACAAACTCTCTACATAAAATGTTCTTCTAGGGACTAGACTGAATTCCCCACTCTGGGACAGCTCTCAGAATTTGATTTGTCCAATTGAAACACTTGTTACGATGTGACCCCAGTAAACCTGTTCTTACGTCAGCTCACGTAAAGACAACCCCATATTTCCAGGTGTTCAGAACAGACACTGAGGTCTATCCTTTTTCTCTCAGGGATAAAGTCACCTCATGAATCTAAATACTATCTTTTCTGCTAACACACTTCTGCACGTCTTCTTCACACCTCATCTGCATTATTAGGTGGCCGAGCTTTCCCATGTATGTACGGCCTGTTGACTTGTCAGTGTGCTCTTTGCATGGCAGTCAAAATGATCCCTCTGTCATCCAACCCTCTGTTTCCATCACGTATTGTCAGCTGTGCTCCTTAGTATGACCTAAAAGGTCTTCTATATCCCAAATCTCCTCACCTCCTATGGGCTTCTTCTCTAGCCTTGTGATGCGCTCTGCTCTGGTATCCTGGCCTCCCTTAGCTACTCATCAAATATAACAGGTGTGTTCTTATATGAGAGCTCCTTTCTTTTTCTGCTCCTTATTTTTGGGATGCCTCTACCCCTGAAATCGTCTCTAAGCATGGTTGATACTTAGCTGAAATGTGTGGAGGGATTTTCAAGTACCCATAAGTGCAGTTGGATTAATTGGCACTTAAAGTCCTTCCTGATTCTACTAAGACCATAACTTTACTAACAAGTGGAACAAATTCATTATATTCTATATGACACTTGTTGTTTTCCCAAATGGGTCCTGAATAGTGCAGTTGTGACAGGTTAAAATGGAAATATTTATTCCTTTTAGGAGTTCCTTTAGAACCTTTAAGCAGTTAACACATTTTACTCATGAACTATTGTTGGGATTGCATCTACAGCAAATAAAATCAATCCTGGTATGTCCACTGGGAGCTGAAGAAAGGCTGATAAACACCCATCTGTCTAAAGCACAATGTAGAGGGGGTATTCTGATTGGATAATTCCTGTAAAGATCGCCTGGTAAAAGCTTTAGCTATCACCCATGGAGTTCTTTGAGTACACAAGGCAAGGTGTTTCTTCAAGGTCAGTTTTAATGCTTTTTTTTTCTTGCCCTGCTGTTTGAATGCTGGATGAAGCACAGCTGAGAGAAGACTTCTCTAGTCATTTCTGTATGAAGATTACTTCTACTTATTCTTTCGAGTGGGGTGGTGTTTTTCTTAACTTGGGGAATGAAATATTGTTTATTCATTCACTTGACAAAAATTCTCTTTAAGAAATGGCAATCAACTATTTTTGTGTATGGATGTAGTATTCACCAGACAGGAATTGGGAAGCCAGACTTGCACCTTCATGTATTTGTGAAATCCTCCATTCTGGAGTAGCATGTCTTAGAGCCTTGATACCATCTAGATATTTTGGTGTGCTGGTTAGTGCTGAGTGTCAGCTTGACAGGATCTTGAATCTCCTAGCTGACAAGCTTCCAGATACACATGTGAGGGTTTATTTAGGTTAGGCTAGCTTCTGGGCATGTCTGCGGGTATTATTTTGATTAGGTTATTTGTGGTGGGAAAATTTTCCATTCTTTGGGGTGGGATTCCCCAACTGGATAAAAAGAGAAAGTTAACTAAGCATGGACATGTCTGCAAGTACAATATAACCAGATGTTTCTGGTTCCTGATGTAAGGACTTCCCCACCTTCATACTGTGAGCTAAAATAAACTTTTATCCCATTACCTTTATTTAAAAATTTATTTATTTAATTTACAAATATGTGTGTAGGCCTGAGTGTATACATGCACCATGTATGTGCAATGACCATTGAAGTCAGAGGAAATATTGTATTTTCTGGAACTGGAGTTACAGATGTTGTGAGACACTATGTGGATACTGGGAACAGAACACCAGTAATGAGTTTTCTTCACCACCTCTCCAGCTCCCATACCCTAGACTTGTTCTCCTCAGATTATTTTATCATAGCAAACTGGAAAATAATCAAGACACCGAGGGACCAACCATTAATTTTTAATAGCATAACCCTGTTTAAATGAAGGTGATAAAAAATGAAAAAAACTTCCACAGAAGAATTTATTGTTCAATTTTTTAATTAGATGGGAAATGTGGGTTCAAAATCTGTCTTGTTGCTTATCATTTCAGTAATTACAGTATTTTATAAGAATTGGTGACATGAGCCAATTCATTTTCAAAACAATTATCTTTTATCCATTTCTAACTGAGCTAAGACAATATAATTTTTAAAAAGGGGGATTGCCCCAATTTGTGGGAGAAAGATAATGATCAAGTTACAATTTAATCAGTTCTGAAAAAAATGGGAAGCTCATGGCATGAATACTTTCCTTCTGTCCTTGTCACAACATGGACACTCTGGTCAATATTCTGTTTCTATTAATCTGAAACTGTTTATTCCCAAGCTGTTTTTTTTTTTCAGTGCAAATCTCCTATGGAGGGACACAGGAAAGTCAATGCTGTGGCTCAGAAGAGAACAAAAGTTAGTTTTCAAAGGGCCTAAGACACACTAAGTGGTGACCCAAGTGTTGCTCCCTCTATTATTGCAGTTAGGCTGCAAAGCTAATTAAAAATCTCTGCTGGCACAAATGTGTATTTGGTGTTCTAAAATCTGTCCTCTCCAAAAGACTGGCAGGTCGAAACTATTGAGGCAAGCTTTGACTTGGCTTTGCCTTTATGTGTTCATTGATGCTGACCTTAAAAATGCCAAAATACTGTCCTTACAAGACCTGAACATTGCTAAAGCAATTTTCTGTTAGCCTGAAAACATTTTTAATCAAGTGGATAAAGCCAAGAAGGTGATTATTTCTAGACTCATTAATGACTAAAGAAAAAAAAATGAGACAATCACCATGATTTATTTGGTTATCTAATTATCTATTTTCAAATCCTGTTTTCCCGGAGCCTCAGCACAAAATTCTTTAATCATCTTATTCTTTGAAGATAACTTGGTGGTCCATAAATGAAACAATGATGACCAAGACATTTTGCAGTTTGATTAAAATCTATATGATGGTAATGAAGATGAGGGAAGTTAATTAGATACGACTGAAATACAAAGCTGCTTCAAAAAGTTTCACCACTCTGTGATCTATATCTACCACAAAAACCTGACAACTGGACTCTCAGTGCTAATGTTAATCAATTACCATACTTATATTTCTTTTTGCAATGGCCTGATTAATGTTGGGGACAAACCTTCAAAGGTTGTTGTTAGATTATACAGTGAAATCTTGCCGTGTTCATAGGAGCAATAGGAGTGTGAGATTATATCTGGAGATCTTGGTGATATATATGAATACTATTGATACTATGAAGATTCTATCAAAGGAAATTGTCAACAGAGACTGCATGAGCCATTTGACAGGGCTAGGGCATATCATCCCAGAGTATGTGGAGGATGGGTAGAAAATTTAAACTACAGGGCAATACAAACATGACTTTCAGTTGTTTTCTGAAGATACGTGCACAGTGTCCATGGGAAGAAATATTTAGCTTTCTTTTTGTATCTTATTTTCAAGAAATTGAGAAAATGGATGATGGAGCAAAGAAAACCATCCTCATTCCATTTTAAGCTGAAATGAGAATAAGAAATCTGAACTCAATTATGTGCAGTGCAACCAAAGGTGACTGATGGATAAAAGGATAGATTATTGAATCTACTCTGAAAAGAAAAAAAGAAGAATACGGATATGGTAAGATAAAAAGGTAGATTATTGAATCTGCTTTTAAAAAGCAACTACTGGCTTTAAATATTTTACACTGGATTGGAATTTTGTATATTGTAAAAAAAATTGTGAATATTATACAAAGTTGAGATTATTTTTGTTGAAACATACTGTACATACATTTCTACTCTTGTTCAAGATATTGTACCTATACAGTTCATTTAACAATGTAGTGCAAATTGCTCGTCCTTGAAAGTTATTATTACCAACTATTTAGGATAATAAAGAAATGAAAATTAGTAATTAGTCATTACAGTCAACCTTGTAGTCATGTTAGTTATATTTCCAAGGTCAAACAAATATATTTTAGATAAATAGGTCATCTTCAAACACTTCAGAGATCTGCAGAATATGGCATTTAAGATGTTTTAATAACATAGATTCTTTTTTTTATGACAATGAGACATGTCTGCTCCTGGCAGCACCAATCTACTTTGGAGAAGATGATGGGCATTGAAGAAACTCCTTATGGGCTTTACTGTCTTTGTGGCAAAAGTCAGCCACTGGGAACAAAAGTGCCCTTGCCGTGACTGCTGACAGTATGCTGTCCAAAATGGACAAGTAGGACACAAAAGAAAGGACTGCTGAACTTTGTCAAGACAAGGTAGGAAGGCCCTTCAGAATGTCCTGCTTCATAGAAAAGTCTGTCAGATATGCTAGGCCTGTAGGCTGGAGATGATGCCCCAACATTACAAAGGAACCTTGGATGACTATCCAGGCAGCCAGCTGTTTCTGTCATTTCTCACATTTTTTGGAAGTTGCCTGTTTGTACTTCCTACTTACTCAGTTAATATTATTTCCTTCTTGGGTCTCTGAGGGAGTTGAAGACTAGATAGTTATAGTTACAGTTTTCCTTGTCAACAAATTCAGAAAAGAAACTCACAAAAGAGGTGTAAAGTGTGTAATTTTGAGAGACATCAAAAGATAGTATTCGGTTGGTAATACAAGTTAGGATAGAAATTGAATTTAGTACAACACTTTGGATTCACCAAAATACGATAAACAATGGAGTATTTTCTCTGAATTTGTCAAATGCTTATGGACTGGACATTATTAGTGTAATTTTTGACTATATATATATATATGGTATACAGTTATTGTACTTACATATAGTTTTTCTTATATTGGTTATAACCTTCTCTTATTATATTAGACAAAAAGGAGAAATGTGATATTTTGTTATACTCTAATAAAATTTGCCTGAAGATCAGAGTACACAACAAGCTACTAGATTAAACATAGAGGTCAGGCAGTGGTGGCACACACTGTTAATCCTAGCACTCGGGAGGCAGAGATCCATCTGGATCTCTGTGAGTTCAAAGCCACCCTGGATTACATGAGATTGATTCTGTCTAGGAGAGAAACAGAGCCAGGCAGTGGTAGCACACACTTTTAATCCCAGTACTTGGGAGTCACACACCTTTAATTCCAGCACCTGAGATCTCATGCCTCTCCTACCAGTATTTGGGAAGCACACACACCTTTAATCCCAGCACTAGGAAGGAAGTGAAATGGCTGGACAGAGAAAGGCATATAAGGTGTGAGGAGACAGGAACTAAGGCCCTTATTGGCTGAGGACTCAGAGGCTTCAGTCAGAGGATTCGTGGAGATAGGATCTCACCTTCCATTCTGCCTGAGCATTTGGTAGTGGTGAGAAGTTTCTCCAGTGGCTTGTTCCTTTGTCTCTCCTACATCTCTTCTAGGGTGTCTGATCTCCACAGTAAAGGCACATCCCCAGGATGGAATTTTAGTTCCTACATCATGTACCCACCCACCTCAATATTCTGTGATCTTCTCTGATATTCACACTCTCATTTACCCTGGTGACAGGTCTTCCTTGACCCCAGTCTCTGCCTATTAATGTCCTCTTCCTTGAGTGATCACCCTCCAAGATCTATCTTCTCACTTGTGCTCCCACACTCTTCAGCTTTTGCTTAAATATCACCTTTTACTGAGGTGGAGTACACAACCCTCTGGGGAAAATTGCAACCCTCCTGCCCCAACTTCTTAAACCTCCTTATTTTCCCCTTGCATGTTTAATTTTACTGGGCAGCCATGGTCACCGTTCGTTATGTTAGTTACTTTATTTTTGTATTTCACTTTCAGTCTTTCCTCCTCCTCTGCTATTCATGCAGAGCCTCAACTATAGAAGCTTGTTGAGCAATGTTCCTCTGTTCGTTTAATTCTGTCATTAGCACCTATACAGCAGTGCCAGACACATAGAGGACACCAACAAAATGTTCAGTAAATAGAAATGATGTGATTCACCGAGTCAGATGCCACAGAAAAATTGCTGCTTTTGTTATTGTGAATTTCATGTATATTACACACCTTATTTGTTTTTTTACAGCTATGAATAACTCATTCCTTTTGAACTTGTTACTAAAGGACAGGACCATAAGGCCTTTAAACATAGTAAATGTAAACTACACATCAATTACATTCTGTTTTATGTATTCACTATTTAGTCTCTAGTATATAATCTAAAATGTCCACATTTGATTGAAGTATTTCTTTTCAGGAATTTTATTTTTGTTTTATTGTGGTAACAACTCCTCAATGAAGCCACTCTTCTAGAAAGACGTTTTAAAAGTGCACAGCACAGCATTGCTAACAGAGGCACAGCTTCTTTGTAGATATTTGGAACTTATTGAAAATTCCTTAAGCATTGTGGACATTTTTTTTTATGTTTTGAAAAATACAAATTCCCAAAGAATCAATAACAGTGAAAACACAACACTAACAAAAGAGATAGGCAAGAAGTGGCTTGTGGGTAACCATGAGCAACCGCTGAGCTGGTGTAGCTCAGCATCTCCCTTCTGGCCCACTGTTGGCATTGTGCTAAGGAAGAAGCACAACCCTTCTGGCTCCCTGTTGACTTTTTACAGACTAGAGCAAGCTTCCAGGGAAAGGCAGAAACACTTACCGAGCATATGCAGGTAAACTAAACTTAAACCACTTTTCTTCCTGGCTTACTTCTTTCTCCAGGAAAAGAGAGGGTCCACAGAGTGTTAACCGTGCTAGGTGATGAACACCCAAAACATGGCAACAGCAGTAAGGGAAATTAGAGCAATGTGTTTGTTCTTTCTTGCACACTAGACTATGATTTTAATTTTGGCACAGGGACTATTTTGGGTGGTATTGATAACATGAATAAATATTTTTTGGTCATCAGGAAATGTCAGATACTGATCAAAGGCTTTAGGTCCCCAAAGCCACCCAGTGGGTGCTGGTGGACACTGTTCATATTTGCAAAGGAAGCAAGTAGACCCAGAGAAGTCAAGAAGTTGGCTCTTCTTTCTGTATCTCCTAGGAGACAGATGGACTCGACTGAGGTTGACTGGCTCTTGTCCAGGCTTCCTAGAATGCAGCCTTTGGGGGAAATGCCCTCCCTGTCTACCACCTCAGGTGCCCCTGGCTGTTGTGTGACCCTGCCACACCCAGTGAAGCATCTTTCTGAGTTTATCCTTCTCACATTGGGCCTCAGTGTCTTGATCATCTTTTTTTTTTTAATACTCTGTTTACATGTTTATATTTATTCTTTTCTTTTGGATCTGTTTTTTGAAACCACTGAAGCTTACACACCAGGAGATCAAAGTGACCTACTTTCCCTCATTGGGGAGGTTATTTCAATGGATTCACTTCCACACAGCACCTCATTTCAAGGAGGGTCTCTGATAATTAACAGGGAGGGAGTGAAAGTCATACAAGAACCACCCTGGCCTAGATGACCAGTGTCAGATGGGGAAGTCCAGTTAACTTCCTTAATGATCCATGGTTTATTACCCGTGCTTTCTTGTGGTGGACAGGTAACAATCGCGGTGAGGCATCTTTTTAGTTTACTTGATAATTTGAAGCTTCTCGTGACTGCCAATTTAAACAGTTTTAAATCCAGCAATGCTACCTTTCAATGAAATGAATAACCAGGCTCTAATCGTTATGCTTGAATATTTTAGTACATTAAGGAATTTAGGGACTTAATTTAACCTACTGGTTGGCAATCTGAAATATATACTCTAGTTATAGAAAAGAAACATAGCAGGCATTTTCCAGGCCTCATACAGTGGTAGGGATAAACCACGGGATTTTATGGAAGGGCTTTATTGGGCCGTTTCCTTAAGCAGAAGCACGATGCTGTTAAGTTCTTAAATTTGAAACACTGAAATTCTTCCCTCCCAGGCCTGCAAGCAGGTATATGGCTGCCTGCCTGCCACGACCTCCCTGTGGTCTTCCTCCCGCACCCCTGCAAACGCCCAAGAGGCTAACACAGAAAGTTTCAACAAGAGACCGGTGTCATCCTGCTGTATTTGTGAAGTTTTATTAAATTTTAGATAAAATTGTTCTGCATTTTAAAATACACTGTAAGGTTTATGTCAAAATACATGCACAGACTGGTCCTATGAAGCATGTGGCTGTAATTGATTTTTTCAGTGGTTTGTGACAATGAAGGAGCATCTAAAAACTAGGACCTGCTCTTTATTGTTCTGCCTGACCTTTCTTAAGACTCTGCTCTAATAATATGCTAAATTACAAAAACTGTGATCCTAAGTAAGAAATATGGATTTTCCTATGGATTCATCTGAACTGTAATTGATTGTCTAACATAGAAACCATGCTATGTGAGTTATTTGGCACACTGCTAATATTTGCTAATTTAGAATGTAATTATAATCAGCATGGATCTTTGAAAATGCACTTATGAACTTAGCCACAGTGGAAAAGCTTATCAGACTCCCTGCCATGTAGGAATTGCTCGGGTTCTTAGGAGATATATAGTCCAAGTTTTTAATTATATTCTGCTGGAGTTCTTTTTTAATTTTATCTTCCTAACAAGGAATGGATTTTAATATGACAAAGGTGATGCTTATGCTATAAAGGAGGAACATTAAATAGAGTTTATGATGCTTCCAACTGAGATGAGTTTTAACATTTAAAACAAGGAAAAGACAGTTCTTTCATTCCAATTT